ATGAGCGTAGAAACAAGGAGGTGGTCATAATGTTATGCCTGATCGGTGTATATATATATATATATATATATATATATATATGTTTTACAGTATTTGCCATATTTATGATTGGATATATGTCTACATTTTACTGATTTTTTTGTGGTTTAAAATAAAAGCTTATGGCCAACAGCCCCCTAGCAGTACAACCATGGCCCACTGCGCGGCTCACAGGTTGAAAAGCACTGCACTACATGTTTAAATAAAATCTGTTCACTGCCACTTCAGGACCTAATTGATCTTTCCAGCATTGATTCACTGGGCAATATTTGGTTCAGTTGCACAGCACTGTAAGGCTCATTATCAGATATATTGCAAAATGTTGGTAAACCTGATAAGCAGAAACGCAGTGCGTATTTCATGGTACACCAGTACAGTCAGTATCATCCTTCTTTAGTGAATTTGGTTTCATGAAATCCAGGTGCTTTGGGAGAGTGATAGGGTACACAGGTGTCACGGTTCGGTTCGCACCACACGATTCACAACGGTACTGAACTCACACCGGATCACGATTCGTTATGAGTTCGACACATTGGGAAAAAAGCAACAAAAACACCCAAATGCATCAGGCTAGCTTTCTTTTTTTTGTTTATTTTGAACAGATAGTAGCACAAGTTACAGTTTGCTCCACCTAGCATTGTATAGCGCCCCCCTGAGGTAACTTAATTGGTACAGCCTGTAGTGGGTCATTTGTACTCAGTGGGGAAAGTCACTAATGTTAACTAATTTGTGCGGCGATAATTCAACTTCAGTTGTGATTTTGTAGTTAGAAGCAGAGAAATATTCGTAAGGCTTCATGTTGAATATCTTTACAGACGCAAAAATACTGCTTCTTTTTTTTTTTTAATCATAGCTTTCTTTCCGTATCTTATATTAATGGTCAGATCTCATTTTCTGCTGTTACTGTTTGCTATACAGTGTGGACCAGAGGAGGATGGGTTCCCCTTTTGAGTCTTGGTTCCTCTCAAGGTTTCTTCCTCTTGCTCTTAGGGAGTTTTTCCTTCCCACTGTTGCCATTGGCGACGCTCATGGGGGCTCGGACCTGGATTTTTCTGTAAAGCTGCTTTGTGACAACACCTGTTGTAAAAAGCACTATATAAATAAACTTTGGCTTGACTTGACTTGGACAGGGACAAGCCTGGTTTCATTCGTTTAATTTCAGCTTGTGTTTTTTATAAAATCCTCTCTTTTTATTTACCTCAAAGCGGCCTGCCTCACAGCTGATCGGGGGTCAGGAGTTAGGACACAGTGCTGCAGTTATGAACCCTCCATAGGCCGAATCATCTGGCACTAGCTGCAAAGGAAGGGTCCTCCGCTGCTAACCTGCTAATGGCCTACGGCTTAAGAGTTCCAGGTGGAACTTGTCCTTGTTAAAATTGGGTTCTGCATGATGTTCATCAGTTTTCACACGTGTGTTCTCCATACGACTGCATACACCGAACCGTCGTCACGTCAGCACCGTTACACCCCTGATGTTTGTGTTTACTGTCCCAGGCGTTTTGGTCTTGGTTGCACATTAAATGCTCTACTCTGAGTGTGGGTTCATATTTACACGTTAGTCTTCATGTCTGCGTGTTCTGTGTCTTTGTCACGGTGGCAGAAAGAGAAGTCGTGCGACAGAAAACCAACAGAGAGGCGTAATGCTGTGGGTGTGTCGCCTAGCAACAAGGCCTTATTGCCCCTCTCTTTGATGATGGATTGATGAGAGAGAGAGAGAGAGAGAGAGAGAGAGAGAGAGAGAGAGAGAGAGAGAGAGAAATGGCCTGTAGTTCTAAGAATACTGTGTAACTGTATAATACTGTTTATCTGATGATGTTATTGGGAGAATAAACAGCCTTATCTCCTGGCATTGACTCCATTTAGACAATGCAGGGAAGCTCAGTTGTGCTCCTTAACCCTCATTTCTTGCTTTTAGATGTGAATGATGTCAGAGACTGTAAAACATGGACAAAAACTACAGCAGCAGCCTCCTGAAAGCCTGAATTTGTTCCATGTTTATAGATAACTGTATCTCATGGCTTCTCTGATGCAGAGCCAGTACAGAAATGACTGGAAAGTCAAAAAAAGCCTGTAGGTTTTGTTTTTTGTTTTGTTGCGCTGGAGGCTGAAAAGCTTAGCCTAAATCCTTAAAGTTCCTCCAGAATCAGAATCACTTTATTTCACCAATACACCAATCAGGCATAACAATATGACCACCTTGTTTCTATGCTCATTGTCCATTTTATCAGCTCCACTTACTATATAGGTGCACTTTGTAGTTCTACAGTTACAGACTGTAGTCCATCTGTTTCTCTGATACTTTGTTAGCCCCCTTTTACCCTGTTCTTCAGTGGTCAGGACCCCCATGGACCCTCACAGAGCAGGTACTATTTGAGTGGTGGATCATTCTCAGCACTGCAGTAACACTGACGTGGTGGTGGTGTGTTAGTGTGTGTTGTGCTGGTATGAGTGGATCAGACACAGCAGTGCTGCTGGAGTTTTAAAACACTGTGTCCACTCACTGTCCACTCTATTAGACACTCCTACCTTGTCAGTCCACCTTGTAGATGTAAAGTCAGAGACGATAGCTCATCTGCTGCTGCACAGTTTGTGTTGGTCATCCTCTCGTCCTTCATCAGTGGTCACAGGACGCTGATGGCTGGATATTTTTGGTTGGTGGACTATTCTCAGTCCAGCAGTGACACTGAGGTGTTAGTACCTGCTCTGTGAGGGTCCATGGGGGTCCAGACCACTGAAGAAAAGGGGAAAAGGGCGGCTGAAGTTTCAGCTCTGTGTATATTACTCCGGCTCCCGTTGCCAAACTAGTGCCACAGTGTTTTCCATCTCAGTCCTTGGAGACCCCAGATGGTCCACAGTTTTGCTCTCACTCTTAGCCCCCAATACACTTAGACCACCCAATTGAGAGCTGAATATCTAGCGCATGTGTACTCAGAATTAGGTTAGTGGCAAAAATGTGGATCATCTGGGGGTTCCTGAGGGCGAGGCTGGATTAGAACATCATTGCTTACTGTAGCATTGAGTTTTGACATCAGTGTAACTGGGGGGTCTAGCCTGAATCATGAAAAACAGACCCATGCCACCACACTATAGTTAACAGCCCCCTCAACAAGATGATCCAGGCACTTCACAGTTGTAGAGGTGAGGGCAACAGGTCTGTGGTCAGTTAGGCAGTAACTAGGTTTTTAGGCCCTGGACGATCTTTTAAATCAAGCTTGTCTTTAAATATCTTTAAATAAGCAGCTGCATACAAGCCTAAGGTCACCATGCAGTGTCGAGCGATGGCTAGACTGGTGTAAAGCAGCTCACTGCCACTGAACTATGGCACAGTGAAAACTTGCTCTCTGAGGTGATTAATCATGGGTTTTTGCCTGGCAGTCTGAAAGATGAGTCTGGGTTTGGCAAAAGCCTAGAGAATGCAATTTTACTGAACATTGTATTTTATTGTGTTGTATTTTGTTTTACTCCAGATTATATTGTTTGTCAGTGTTTCATAAAAGCAAAATACCACACAATAAGTAATAAACCATGATAAGCCATAAGCATTTCACACTGCACAAATCAACTGGCCCACAGAACAAACCACATACACTGTATGGAGCTAATTTTTTGCCAAAAGTTTCAAATAAAATGATAAAATCCACAAGCAAAGTACTGAGTATCAAAATGTCAGAAAATTGTTGCAAATACAAATAATTACAGTGAAACTTTCGCTTCATGTATGAATTTATTATTTTGCCATTTTTTGATGTAATTTTTTATATTTGCTGATTTCGCTGATACATTTTTTTGCTTCTGGAATCGCTCTTTTGTTTCTGAAATGTTTCTTTTACTTCTGACTTTTGGCACTTTTAAACTGGGGGGGGGTCTTAGGAGAGAGCACTCACCAGCACTTTCTATTGGTTAACTGATTTGGAGTGAAGATAAAAGATAACTCTCATTAATTGTATTTGCAATGCATTTTAGACATTTTTATGCTCAGTATTTTTCTTGTGGATTTTATAATTTTATTTGAAACTTGTGGCACAAAATTAACTCCATAAAACAGGGCTGAGACTATCTGGTGAGGTAGTGCATTAGTGCGCATGGCATGGGTGACGTGCACATCTGTGAAGGCACCATTTTCAGGGTAGGCCTTGATTATTTCAGCAAGACGATGCTAAACCACATTCTGCAGCATGGCTCCATAATAATAGAGTCTGGATGCTAAACTGACCTGCCTGCAGTCCAGACCTGTCATCACTGAAAACATTTGGCGCCTTATAAAATGAAAAATACGACAAATGAGCCCCAGAACTGTTGAGCAGCTGAAATCCTGTATCAAACAAAAATGGGAAAACATTTCACTTTCTAAACTACAGCAGTGTCTCCTCAGTTCCCAAACGCTTACAGAGTGTTGTTAAAAGAAGAGGTGATGAAACACAGTGGTAAACAGGCCCCCGTCCCAACTTTTTTGGAACATGTTGTTGGTATCAAATTCAAAGTGGGCATATATTTTTTTCAAAAAACAGTAACATTTCTCAGTTTCAACATTTGATATGTTGTCTTTTTAGTATTTTTCTTTAAATATATGGTTTACATGATTTGCATATCATTGCATCCTATTTTTATTTACATTCTGCACAGCGTCCCAACTTCTTTGGAAATGGGGTTGTAATACGCCTGGGAATTGAATGGGTTAATCCCTTAATTTGAAGGCTTACTGATCAGTTATTGATCTTTAGCCTTGTTATTCATTAACTACTACAAATGATTCGGTAACTACTATGAAACTAATGTCAGTTCTGTAGTTATGAGATTGAATTGAACTGCGGACCCACATACGGACCCTTAAAGTTTACAGGGTCAGTGTGTTTTTATGCCTATCATGTGTTCTTATTGTGTCTTTATTCTGATTCTATGAACCTATTGATGCTGGTAAGTGACAATAAATCATGTAATCTGTTCTGTTCTTCTGTGTGCAGCTGATCAGTGATGGCAGCGTGGTGTATGCCGAGGCGCTGTGGGACCATGTCACCATGGACGATCAGGAGCTGGGCTTCAAAGCAGGCGACGTCATCGAAGTAGTGGATGCCACCAACAAGGAGTGGTGGTGGGGCCGCATCCTGGACAGCGAGGGCTGGTTCCCTGCCAGCTTTGTCAGGGTGAGGAGCTGAACTTTTCAGAGCAGAACTTTTAGTTTTTGTTACTCAATCTGGGCATAAATGTCTGATCTCTCATTGATTTGATTCAATTATGATTCTTTATGAAACACATCAGCTCATCACAAAATCTCAAATTGTAATTCATTGTATTATTTTGGCACGATTCAGAATTATTGAGTACACAGATTGACTGACTGAAGGGTGTGGAATGAACTAGGCCTGTCAAGCAATTAAAATAGTTCATCGTGATTATTTACTATGTTTTGTGTAGTTAATTGTGATTTGTCGCATTTGTCTTATCTGCTCAAATTTGACTCTAAAGGAAGATTTATTCCATTAAAGAAGCAGTGCATTTTATTCTAGCTATAAATATAGATAGAATAAAGTTAATCCAAATTTATTACTTTCAGTACACTATTATTTTTTAATATATGTGATATTTTTGTTATATACACAGTTGCCGTTCTTACTCTCAAGGCTCTGGAGCAAAACTGGAGTTTTTCACTTTGCTGTGGCTTTTGTTAGTTTGCTTTTGCTGCTCGATTTATCAGTAGTTCCTCCATGAACACTGTCCAGAACAGTCTGCAGAAGTTGCTGAAGGTATTGCTTTAAAAGCCTTTATGTGAACGAGAACGTCGCAATAAAATACTACCATAGCAACATACAGCATGCTGCAGCTGGGCTTCGGCCTGCACTACTGTGGATGTTTCAAAGGAAAATGTGTTAGCAGCATGTTAACTTTCACAGCCCTGCAATATACACAATAAAAACACAACACCACGCTACGACAGAGTTTTAGGGCCAGTGTTAAAGTTAAAAATAGTAGACCTCGAGAATAAAGTCGTAATATTTCAAGATAAAAAGTCGTACGGTATGATATTTTAAGAATAAAGTCATAATATTTTGAGAATAAAGTCAAAGAATTACAATATTAAAGTGGGATTTTACCAGGAAAAGTCGCAATATTGTAGCCAAAGGCTTTGCAAAGGGAAGGTAGGACCTCCTTGTGTTATAATGAGGGGCGTTGAGGAGTTAAAGTTATACTTTTGTATCAATTTCACCCATAAAGAAACACTCAGTCTCCCTGTCTCTCCTGCACATCAGCACCAGCCTGTTATGAGCAGGAAACGGTTTATTTAGAATAAAGAGCCAGACGGACTCAGAGGAAACTGTCTGTTTTGTTGAAGGAGAACTCAGAGGCAGTGGTGTCTATTGGTGGTTACATCTCTGTGCTATTTGGAGAGGGCATGTAGTTCCGCTGGAGACGATGAGAACGATAATCAAAATGATTGATCCTGAAGGAGTGAGTGGAACTCAGCATCCTTGTCCTCACCAGTACAGCAACTAAGACCCCAGCGCATTATGGCAGCCCCTAGCCTACTTTATCCTCCAAATATCGCAAGTTTATTCTTCTAACTTTAGACTTTATTCTCGAAATATTACGACTTTATTCTCAAAGTCTATTTTTTTTTAACAGTGGCCCTAAAATGTCGTCATACCATGCCTTTAAAAACGTGCCAGACATAAAAAAGTAGAACATAATAATAATAATACTGAATATTATTAAATTAAATTATATTTAACTTCAAGATTCCAGAATTGATGCGGGTTTGCCAGCTTTAAAAGCTAATAGTCACGTTTAAAAAATGAATAAAGATCATTCCAGTAATTAGACAAAAAAAAGAAGCTTTTATACTCTTTATCTGCAACAAGTAACACTCAAGTTTAATTTTGGCTCTATCCAAAGAAAAACAAGTATCTCCAAAATAGTAACTTTACAAAAACCTTCTTAACTTTTAATGTAAGTTAATGTAAAGTGGTTTTATTCCATGTGTTTTAGGAGCATTTCTATTGGTCTATTCATCATGAACTTTTCTCACAGTGTGAAGTACAGCTGACATGTTCAAATGACATAGAAAATAAAAATTGATAAAAATGGAGATATTTTTCAAGATTTGGACAGCTACACTTGCTGCCTGTGTGACTGATTCCAGTGAAAAAAAGACATTGTTTGACCCTCCTGACCTGTGTCCACCCCTTAGTTGCGAGTGAATCAGGATGAGCCGATGGAGGAGTACCTAGCCCAGCTGGAGGAGGCTCGGGAGGAGAACAGTGCCGGCATGGCGCTGCTGTTGGGGCCGGGACTGCCCTGCAAAGAGCAGATGAGGACCAACGTCATCAACGAAATCATGAGCACGGAGAGAGATTACATCAAACACCTGAAGGACATCTGTGAGGTCAGCTCCATGCTGAAAATGTTTACTAGTTTTATCAAGCATGATAGAAGAGTTGAAGTGCATTTAGACAGTTTGTCTAACAGTCTGTACATCTGATCAAGCCTGAAATGCTGTGTGATCACTGCAGACAGTGTCTTCCATACATATAGGGCTGCAACAAATAGTGGATAATATTTGATAAATTCAGTACTTAAAATATAATTCTCAGCACTGCAGTAACACTGACGTGGTGGTGGTGTGTTAGTGTGTTAGTGTGTGTTGTGCTGGTGCGAGTGGATCAGACACAGCAGTGCTGCTGGAGTTTTTAAACACCTCAGTGTCACTGCTGGACTGAGAATAGTCCACCAACCAAAAATATCCAGCCAACAGCGTCCTGTGGGCAGCGTCCTGTGACCACAGATGAAGGACTAGAGGATGACCGACACAAACTGTGCAGCAGCAGATGAGCTATTGTCTCTGACTTTACATCCACAAGGTGGACCGACAAGGTAGGAGTGTCTAATAGAGTGGACAATGATTGGACACAGTGTTTAAAAACTCCAGCAGCACTGCTGTGTCTGATCCACTCGTACCAGCACCACACACTAACACCCCACCACCACGTCAGTGTTACTGCAGTGCTGAGAATGATCCACCACCCAAATAGCACCTGCTCTGTGAGGGTCCATGGGGGTCCTGACCACTGAAGAACAGGGTGACAAAGTATCAGAGAAACAGATGAACTACAGTCTGTAACTGTAAAACTACAAAATGCTCCTATATGGTCAGTGGAGCTGATAAAATGGACAAAAAAATGGACAAAGAGATACAAGGAGGTGTGCTTGGTGAGATGGTGTCAGTGTATGTATATGTGGATGTGCAGTGATGGTTAAGGGGTGTGTGGTCAGTCTAAGATGGACGTTGTAAGGGCATCAGCGTGATCAGGGCCTCAGGGAAGAAGCTGATACAAACAGTTGCAGCCCTACTTTTATATTACACCACAGCTCTGCTTTGTTTGTGGTGATCTCCACAAATTAGCAGTGAAAGCATGTTTTTTCTGCTATGTTCCCCCTTTTATTTCAGATGATTTTGCTGTGGAACCAGGTGTGTCCCTGTGGTATTAACTGACCCTCCATGCTGTTTGCAGGGTTATATAAAGCAGTGCCGGAAGCGCATGGACATGTTCACAGAGGAACAGCTGTGCACCATTTTTGGCAACATTGAGGATATCTACCGCTTCCAGAAGAAGTTTCTGAAATGTCTGGAGAAGAAGTTCAACAAGGACGAGCCCCATCTCAGCGAGATCGGCTCCTGCTTCCTAGAGCACGTAAGAAAAGACTTCCTTCCATTTTGGTTCGACTATATGAAATGCTTAGTGATTCTGCAGTATGAGTAGCATCACTGTCTGTGTTTACATGCAGAGATTTTCTCCAATCCCATTGAACACATTCCAATTATAGATTCAGACTGAGGTGTTTATTCTCACTCTACTCAACAATCTGATGAAAATCTCTGTTTACATGCTCACTACAAGTAATCAGATCCAAAATTACGTAGAGAACCACTTAGTGTAGACGTTACCATGACAACGAGCATCACATGAGTCCAGTCAGAGTGAGATGAGCAGCAGTAAGCAGTGCTTGTGTATTTAATCACTTTAAAATGATGTCAGACTCAGGAAAACGTCCTTCACATGTCCTTATTAAAGAAGGCCGAGAGGAAGACGTCGTGTTCTGAGACACATAAGCTGGACGTCCGTCCCACCGCCATCTTTTAAAGATCAGAGCATAAAACTTCGTCTCCTCTGCAGACCAGTTTCTGCTCCACCATGTTGAACGGTATAAACTTTCACTATGACGCGACGAACATGATCAGAACGGACTTAAACTTTCCGATAGGGAATGTAATCAGATACAGGCGTTTACACGGATATTATTCTTCCATTTAACAGATTATTTACAGGATTACCCACCTCGATCAATCAGATAGGAATTTTATGACCTCAATCGACTAGTCTATTCTGATTGAGGTGTTTACATTAACGTATTCTATTCCAACTGACCTGTTAGTCAGATTATTAACGGATTATCAGGCTGCATGTAAACGTGGCTACTGATGTAAGGCTTTTACTGTCGATTATTATAGTAACTCAACAATATACTAATAATTATGACAGTTAATAACAGCTTTAAATAAAGGCCAAACAGTGAAGACGGACTCAACTGAACATGAACAAACAATCAAAGTCTTTCAAAGATTCCAAAATACTGTAAATCCTATAACTTGTACTGTAAAAACACAAAGAAATCGTTTAAAAATACTTCGATAAAAAGTACAGTTGTGCGCAAATGTTTGGGAGCCACAGGTCAAATGATGTGTTGTGAAAATAAATTGGCACCTCCTCTACAGAGAACACACGTCCACGCATCTTAATACACAATTACTGTTTATTGGCTGAATTTAGGAAAAAAACCCTAATATATGCCTTAGTGTCATTCAAATTGCCAAGTAATCAGTGTGAATCAAATTACTGATTTTTAAATCAAGTAATGGAGTTTAATCGAGTCATCACGACACTAATGTGATCTTACCTCGTCTCTGCAGCAGACAGATTTCCAGATCTACTCGGAATACTGCAATAACCATCCGAACGCCTGCGTCCAGCTTTCCAAACTCATGAAGCTCAACAAGTACGTCTTCTTCTTCGAGGCGTGCCGCCTGCTCCAGAAGATGATCGACATTTCTCTGGACGGCTTCCTCCTGACCCCCGTCCAGAAAATCTGCAAGTACCCTCTCCAGCTGGCCGAGTTACTGAAGTACACCAACCCCCAGCACAGGTACGCTAACCTGCGGGAAATTAGCGTTAGCTGTATTAACTGAGTTTGCAGTGGTCTAAATTATTTAATCGTGATTGGCTGCCGCTTGCAGTATGTGCTCGGTTTGCCATACTTCTTTAATGTGTGCTACTCAGTTATTTCTGTAATGCTAAGCTGCATTCATTTTCTGGCTTATGAAGAGAGTTTGCTAGAAAAGGTTTTAATGCTTGTGTGTAACGACAATGGAAAACTGATTCTTGTAGGGACTACAAAGATGTGGAGGCAGCTCTAAATGGGATGAAGAACGTGGCCAGACTGATTAATGAGAGGAAAAGGCGTCTGGAGAATGTGGATAAGATCGCCCAGTGGCAGAGCTCCATAGAGGACTGGGAGGTGGGTAACAGTCACAGTTATTATAAGTGTAAACAAAACTAGAATCACAAGTAAAATGATTTAAGAAAAAATAGAAGTGAATATAAAAATGTGAAGTGGAACAAAATTGGATTTTGCAAAATGCAAACAGACACCGTAAACATAACCAGAGTGTTTTACACTAAAATCAAGCCTAAAATCACGGCCGCATTAAAATCTTAGTAATGAAAATGGATAGTTCCTGTTCTGACATCTGATTGGCTGAGCTCTTGTAATATACCTGCTACACACACATGAGCACACACATCAGCTGAGTTCTGTAATAATGCACCAAAATATTAAAATTTGTTCCTTCTATGGTGTATGTGATGGTGGAACCCAGCAGTGTGCATTCCAGTAAACACTAATGGTATAATATTATTATGCTATTGTGCTACACTAATAGCATAATACGCTAATAACATACACTTTGTAAGAACCTGGTTCTGTTTAAACTGAGGGGCCGATTACTGTAATATGTCCATTATATGACCAAAAACCAAACAGTTAAAATGACTGGAATATACAGTGATGGGCTACTGAAAGTTCTACATTCTAAAGTTCTAAAGTTCTATTTACCACTCGTTATTAGTTAATGAAAGTTCTGTATTCTAAAGTTCTAAAGTTCTATTTACCACTCGTTATTAGCCACTGAAGGTTATGTATTCTACAGTTATTTACATCTCATTATTAACTACTGAAACTTTATAATAAAGTTCTAAAGTTCTGTTTACCACTCATGATTAGCTTCTGAAAGTTCTGTAAAGTTCTAAAGTTCTATTTACCGCTCATGATTAGCTTCTGAAAGTTCTGTATTCTAAGGTTCTAAAGTTCTGTTTACCACTCATGATTAGCTTCTGAAAGTTCTGTAAAGTTCTAAAGTTCTATTTAACACTCATGATTAGCTTCTGAAAGTTCTGTATTCTAAGGTTCTAAAGTTCTGTTTACCACTCATGATTAGCTTCTGAAAGTTCTGTATTCTAAGGTTCTAAAGTTCTGTTTACCACTCATGATTAGCTTCTGAAAGTTCTGTAAAGTTCTAAAGTTCTGTGTACCACTCATGATTAGCTTCTGAAAGTTCTGTAAAGTTCTGAAGTTCTATTTAACACTCATGATTAGCTTCTGAAAGTTCTGTATTCTAAGGTTCTAAAGTTCTGTTTACCACTCATGATTAGCTTCTGAAAGTTCTGTATTCTAAGGTTCTAAAGTTCTGTTTACCACTTGTTTTTAGCTGCTGAAAGTTCCATACTGAAAAAGTTAAATATGAAAATGAATATGAGAATTAATCTCTCAGTGCTGGCGACTGAAGTTCATCACTAGCATTACTGATTATTACTAGCTCACGTTAAGGGAACATAAAGGCCATGACCGGAGCAGCTTTGGCTCAGTTTGCCTCAGTAGCTCTTGAAGGTCATGACCGTCCACCACGTCCTTCTCTATAATTTTCCCCACCGTGTGACACTTTGTCTCGTAATACATGGACAAAGCAGTTCCCTTTGTTATCACTTGTGGATGTTTGCTTTTAGTGTGGTTCAGATGTAGTTGTGCTATTGTCCCCTTTAAAAGGGGTCCTGACCGCCACTGTTTGTAGCTGTACTTCATTTTTTTGTTGACTTATACTGTGGAAACGACAGCCTATTTCACCCTCATGGGTACATTTTATGATTTAAACAACAAATTCCCTAACTTCAATGATAAACCCACCTATTCAAATAGGAACTGTTTATCGGAAATAGATGATTTTTAATCTATAACGTGTCAAACAATTGATTTGTCAGTTAATCAATTAATAATTTACATTCCTAATACAAGCCAATCACAGTTCTAGATAAGTGTTTCTGTGGGTCTTTAATGAATCAACATATTCATGTAATCCAAGAAAAGTACAGTGCTTTGGTCAAAACAGTGCAGTCCAGTCTTTAACCATGTCACATTATTCATTCACCATTTTTTTTATCATAATAGCAGAATTAAATCTAATTCAGTTGTACTGGGTATATCAGGGGTTTACTTGCTCCCACAGCTTGTATAATCTCCATAGAAAAGCACTGACCAGTAGAATGAGATGCTCTGGAACAGCTAGAGGGGTATAAAGCCCTCAGCATTGGGCTGTGGAGCAGTGGGACTGTGTTCTCGGTAGTGATGGAGCTCCATCCAGTACCTTTGGGATGAGTTGGAGTGGACTGACCATCCAACATCAGTACCTGACCTCACTAATGCTCAATCAAATCCTCACAGCAATGTTCCAACATCTAGTCATCTAGTATAAAGCCTTCCTGGAAGAGTAGAGGCTGTTACTGCAGCGAAGGAGGACAAACTCACTATTAATACCCTTCATTTCAGAAGAAAGGCTGGATCAGCAGGTGTCCTGTTGGACATCACTGTGTACAATCACTTTGCTAGTCTTTTGTCCGTAGCGAGTGGCCTTAGTAACGGCACACATTAAATGTGGCCTGTTTGTGTCTCAGGGAGAGGACATCCTCAGTCGGAGCTCAGACCTGATCTACTCTGGAGAGCTGACAAAAATCTCACCACCTCAAGCAAAGAGTCAGCAGCGCATGTTCTTCCTCTTCAACCACCAGATGGTTTACTGTAAAAAGGTAATAAAGACTCCTTTCAGTGAATTTATTATTTAATTATTTATTATTCTGAGAGGCCCTGAGCTGCTGCTGTAATTTTCTGTATTGTTATCTTGAATTAACAAGTTAATCATCTTGTGATCTCAAGATAACAACTTTTTCTTGAGATCACAAAATATTTAACTTATTTCAAGTTAACAACTTTGTCTTGAGATCACAAGATAATTAACTCGTTATCTCAAGATAACAACTTTATCTTGATATCACAAGATAACTCATTATCTCAAGATAAGTTTTATCTCGAGATAACATAACTAACTTATTTCAAGATAACTTTGTTATGCTGAGATCACAAGATAATTAACTCGTTTTAAGATAACAACTTTATCTTTATCTCGAGATAACAAGATATCTTGAAATAAGTTAGTTAACAACTTTATCTTGAAAACATAAGATAATTAACTTGTTATCTCAAGATAACAACTTTATCTTGAAATCATAAGATAATTAACTTGTTATCTCAAGATAACAAGTTTTGTTATCTCGAGATAACAAGGTAACTAAATCATTATTTCAAGATAACAACCTTGTTATCTTGAGTTAACAAGATGATTAACTTATAATCTCAAGATAACAATCCAGAACGTTCTAACTACCTCATTGCCTCTCTGGAATTCTGTAATACATAAACAATAGTAACTAAATAAAACACAGTTTGTTTGTTTTTTTTGCACTGATAAGCAGAACTTATTTAACTCATTAACACTAGATTAGTGTTGATTTGCTATTATTTAAACTATAATTACATAATTACATGATTAATTACATAGTAAAATGTATAATAATACTGACATTTGAATTCTCTTTTTATAAGTTAAAGTCTGCACATTCAACTTTTTTTTATTTTGATGTCAATGAATTTTCTTTCAGGACTGCATGCACAACAATAACTTCATCAAATTCAGATCATAATAAAACTTCTCCTCTTCAACAAACAAACACAAATGTGTTCTGCACTGAAAGTTTAAAACCTGCATGTTGGTGTGTCCACTTGTTTCAGTTGGTTTTGAATGAGTGAATGAATTTCAGATGAAATTAATCTGGAGTGATTGTTATGCTGGTGAGAACAGAGACTTCTATGAAAATATCCAGGGATGTTCCAGGATCGTCCTTAAAGGCTTTATTTTTTGTTCTACACCACAGTGACCCTGTTTGACCTGCTGATTGTGTTTGCTTCAGGATCTGCTGCGGAGGGACATCCTGTACTACAAGGGCCGGGTAGACATGGACCAGATGGAGGTTTTGGACGTGGAGGACGGGAAGGACAAAGAGCTGAACGTGAGCGTGAAAAACGCACTGAAACTGCGCTCGCTCAGCGGCGACGAGGTGCACCTGCTCTGCGCCAAAAAACCTGAACAGAAACAGCGCTGGCTCCGAGCCTTCAGAGACGAGAGGGAGCAGGTGCAGCACGACCGCGAGACAGGTGAGCTAACACGCCTGCACACACAAACACACACAAACACACACAAATACACATTTTATTTATTTATTTGTTTTTTACATATCAAAATCAGGAAATAAATCATCGCTGTCCAATGAAAAACATGTATCACCATTTTTTTGCGATTTTTACTTTTCTGCATCATTTGAGCTCAGCAGCTGTTCTTTACACTGCGTAAAAATGTCATGACTGGACCAATAGAAGTGCTCAAAAACTGTGAAAAAAAAAACCTAGAATAAAATATTTTTCCATTATCTTACATTAAAAGTTAAGAAGTTTTTTGCTCTCTCCTGTAAAGATTGGAGATACTTGTTTTTCTTTGGACAGCGACGAAATAGAATTGTGCACTTAAATCTGCTGAAAAATGTCATATTTAAGTGTGTTCTCTGTTGAGGATGTATTAACTTATTTTCACTTAGAAAATCAAAACATAATTTATCTGAGGGAGTTCTAATTTTTGCATATAACTGTATTTAAGTGGAAAAAAATCTTTCCTTAGGGTCAAATTTGAGTAAGACAAACATGATTCATCGTGATTAACCACTCAGAATAATATGATTAATTACAATTTTAATCATTTGAAACTCCCAGTCATGTTTTTTAACATTGATGAAAAGGGTTTATTCCTAAATGTGTGCAGTGCACTGTTAGAAATAAAGGTGCTGCGCAGGTACATTTTTTCATTCATCAAGGTGCAAACAATGTAAATGTTCCCTCAAAGGTACAACAGTGGTTTTAAGGTCTGATTGTGAACCTTAAATAAGTGTTTCCAGGTGAAAAGTTCGTATTTGTATCTTTTCATAACCGAATGTTTTAAAACAGAACAGTAAAATAAAAGCCTGGAGACGAGACGTGGTGTGTGGAGTCAGTACAGCTTAGAACATATCATTTCAGTGGATTATGGTTCAGTTATGTTCCCTGACTAAAGGTACTGAGATGTACCCTTGAGGGTACCACCCCAGTGACAAGAGGGGTCCTGCCCCAGTGACAGTTTCATAGCTTTATTTCTAAGAGTGTTTGTTATTGGAAATAAGTTGAGCTCCTGAAGGTCCTCAACTCAATCAGGAGTTACATTAGGAGTGTGAAAAGAAATAAAAACTGCTCATTGTTATCTGTTTACAGTAGAAAACACATGACTTAATGGCCATTTTGTTGATGGAATGGAAATCAACTTGAATATTTTCAATTACTACACACATTTTCTAAGCTGCTTATCCTTCTGGATCATTAGGGGGAGCTGGAGCCTATCCCAGCTGTCATTGGGCGGAAGGCAGGAACCTGGACATGCCGCCGGTCCATCACCGGGCTCAATTAATATAATTAAAATGAAATGCTTGTAACTCTGTTACTAGGACACTGTTGGCTCTCTGTATGTGGTGTTGTGAGTCTGTGTTGAGCTGCCAGTGAGCAATGAGGGGTGAAAGGGGAGGAGTGAGGACCCCCAGTTCACTCCTCTCCACAGCGACGGCCCAGATAAAGCAGACAGCACAACTGCAGCTTCTCTGAAATCAAAAATAAGAACTGTCCCAATAACAAATAGCATGTAAACACAATACAGACCCTTTTATAAATGCTGACTTGATTGTGAAACATTTTTAAACCTTAAAAATGCTGCTTGCTTCCCTTCATTTGGCCTGTTGTAGGTATTAACTGTATCCTAATAAACTGTCCATCACTGCGGCCCTCCACAGTTTAAGCTCTACCGTGAGTAAGTGCCCAATCTGTAGGGGTCTTTTGGGGCAAAACGTGATCCTGTGATCCAAAGACTGTTCCCAGCGTCTCTGTTCTGCTTGGATTAAAACCCAAATGCCTGTATTTGGCACTGTGTTTGTGAATTTGTCACTGGCAGCAGTGCAGTAGATTTGAACGCTGATCCTGAAGATAAACGGGCTCGAATCCACCTCATGCTCAAAGTAGCACTGCGCCAGGCTGCCAGCTCTCAGCAACAGTTATATAGTTTCTCTTTCTCTGAGCCATCTGGACAGACAGGGTTCCAGAACAAAGAGGGCCAATTCATATTATACAACTCACATTACGCTAAATCACCCTGTACTCACTTTCAATTCATTTTTTAGCCAAGTTAGCATTTGGTGGCTGTAGTGATCATTTGAAACAGGGGTTTCCAAACTTGTTGAGGTAGGTTTTGTCCAAATATGTTATGAGGTAAAATATGACATAAACTCTCCCAAGAAAAATCCTTAATCTTTCAGCCCACTTTTACTCCAAAATACAAAAGAAGAAATATGCATAGGCTTATATTATTATAATGATATTGTAGATAGATAGATATACACAAAGAAAAACGGACAGACAGACAGACCGATAGATAGATATACAGACAGACAGACAGATAAATAGATAGATAATTAAATAGACAGATAGACAAACAAACAGACAGACCGACAGAGACAGACATACAGATAGATAGGCAGATAGATAGACAGAGACAGATAGATAGATTGATTGATAGACAGACAGACAGACAGACAGACAGATAGATAGATAGATAGACAGATAGCTTGATAGACAGATAGACAGACAGATAGAAATATAGATATACAGACACAGACAGACAAACAGATAGATAGATAGATAGATAGATAATTAAATAGATAGACAGACAGACAGACATACAGATAGATAGATAGATAGATGGAAAGAAAGAACTTTATTGATCCCAAAGGGAAATTGCAGTGTTTCAGTAGCAAGACATATAATTTCACATAAACTTACATATACTATGCAGAAAATAAAAAATTGAAATAAAAACAAGTATAAGAGTAGAAATAAAGCATAACTACTTCCATATTTACATAGCATATGAGACAGATTTGTTTTATTTACATCATAGCAGGCACTGAGTGGTATGAGGGCAAACACAACAAAACTGAATTGAAATTGAATTGAAAAGGAATCAAATAATGAGGCACTCATTTGTTATATATTTAGATATAATCCTTACCTCTTACCTTTAGTATGAAAACAGTATTGCATTGCATATATATATATATTATATAGGCTTGTGAAGTTGCATAGGACTAGTATATCAGAATCGTTTTATACATTTATCTGCCACTATACCGCTTTTATATTATTGAAAACACTGACTCCAAACTTTTGAACAGTCATTCCAAACTTACGTAGACTGCATACAGTGCAGTTAGATGTGTACAGGGTAATGGTTAAGCCCCCAGTGCCATTAAAAACAACTGAACTCTTATTAATTCATTGATTTATTTCATGCAAACCAGAGCGAGATGCTAGCATACTTACATATGAACATAACTGAACTTCTAAACATACTGGGTGAATCGACATCCTAAATTAATACCACACTTATTGTAACATAGGTAAGACTGTTATAGTAACATGGCTGTTGAGCTGCACTGGTTAAACATGCTCTGTGCTGCAGGCGTAAACCGTTTATGCCACAGTGTACGTTTTAGCACATCCTCAGACCACAGCGTCAGGCTTCAGACCTCAGACCAAACAGATTTGGGCCTCAGCTCTTGTACAAATGGACATCAGGTGAAACAGCCTTAGACAAGTCATCAGGCAAAGTGGCCTAAACACCACGGCCTCAGATGGTAAAGTTCCTGTGACGTTCAAGTCTTTCTAATCTAGACTGATGCAGTTTTGTGGCCAAATTAAAGACGATACCGTCTCCATTTCACCATTTAACCGTAACAACGGAGGAGGAAAAATGGTATCAGTCCCCAACATGGTGCAGTATGAGCCATGAGCTCAGACAGGAAGACAGTTAAAAACATAATTAACAAGCATGAAAACATTACTGAATGCTTCTTCACTCCTCCTCCTGTGTGTCTGCAGGTTTTTCCATCACTGAGGTGCAGAAGAAACAGGCCATGCTGAACGCCTGCAAAAGCCATCCAGCTGGGAAGCCCAAAGGTCAGCACAGTTCAGCTGGTCTCTGTTTTAGAACAGTGTTATATCTGCATATGGCTTCTGCTGTTTTCTTACACCATAAAAGAAGAGATCGCTTGTGGCACAGATGGAGCTTTGATGGTTGTGGAACAGAAGGAGGAACCGATAAAAGAGACTGTAAAAGAGACTTGAAAAGTTAGAAGCCTTCAGTTCACTGAACTTTTAACACGATCAGGTTATAACATTCTGACCACCTCCTTGTTTCTACGCTCATTGTCCATTTAATCAGCTCCACTTACTATATAGGTGCACTTTGTAGTTCTACAGTTACAGACTGTAGTCCATCTGTTTCTCTGTATACTTTGTTAGCCCCCTTTTACCCTGTTCTTCAGTGGTCAGGACCCCCATGGACCCTCACAGAGCAGGTACTATTTGGGTGGTGGATCATTCTCAGCACTGCAGTAACACTGATGTGGTGGTGGTGTTAGTGTGTGTTGTGCTGGTACGAGTTGATCAGACACAGCAGTGCTGGAGATCTGTCGTCCTGCTGAGTCTATTTTCAACCCCAATCTGCCACACCTGTTCCAGCTAATCAGTTTCTTCAGAAGTTCTCGATTGGCTGGATCAGATGCATTAGTATTGGGTAAGGGGGGAGGGTTGGAACTAAAATCTGCAGGACAGTAGATCTCCAGGAGGGGGATTGGTGACCACTGCACTTATTGTTGTGCTGAGTTATTCAGAGTAACAATTAAAGCCCACTGAAGAGTGAAGTATATTTCCATTCATGTTTTTCTCACTCCAAATGTGACGCAGACTAAGTAAAATGTTCTTTACATATCAGAATAAGTGCAACTACAGCATTGAGAAATCGTTATTTACAGAGATCAGTAGATTAAACGGCAATAGAGTTTCTTTGTGTTGGGTAATAAAGGTTAACCTGGAGCTTGTTTGCTTTGTCTCTGTTTGTCTCCCTGCAGCAGTGAACAGGCCCTACTACGACTTCCTGCTGCGTCAGAAACACCCCACACTGCCCACCAGCCTGCCCCAGCAGCAGGTCTTCATGCTGGCTGAACCCAAACGCAAGAGCTCCAACTTCTGGCACAACATCGGCAGACTGACGCCTTTCAAGAAGTGAACACCAGAGAGAGAAAGAGAAACAGAGAGAACTCTCAGCTTGTGCCTGAACTTACTTGCCCTTATATCCTCATTCAGTTAATGTTGTTATTATTATTATTGTTATTATTATTATTATTATATTTTTTTTATTTCTGTTGTCATTGATGTACTTACACAGATCTATTGTAATGATGAACATGATGTTTATGTTGAATCTCTTTCTTTTTTTGGAGAAAGCACTTTATAAGGTGGTTACAATCAGACGGTGACTGGCCCCCCCTGGACTGTGTGAATATTTTTTTGGGGGAGGAGCTTTCCAGAGGACTGTAGCTCCTGTTTCTTCTGAGGACTTTACTGATACACACTAACATTACTAATGGTTTTTTTTGTTCACGTCAACAAATGCCAATTGTACACAGTGCCAGACGAGTTTGCTTTCTTATTTAAGTTCGTTCACTGTCGGTTATGGAAAAGGTAAAGACGGTCTTAATGGGTTGCGTCCTGTTTGGGGCGACTGAAGAGTTTTTAACCGTTGTACATCTGCAGTACGTGTTTTTTGGGTGAGACTTCCCATTGTTTTAATGAAAAGTCTGAGGAACCCAAAGATGTCGCTTCGAGCTACTTCAACTACATTTTGTTAATATGTACATAATCCATAAGCCTCTTAAATGGATCTTATCTGGTTTCTCGCTGTGTTCCTTTAGCCTTATCCTGATGCCCTGTACACAAGAGTATGGAATTAACTTCTTTTTGGAAGTGCCATCTGAAGTGTGTCTTGGACTTATTCCGCCGCAGTCTAACGAAGAGCTAACTGTTGAAGGTCTTTCCTTCGGTTTACAACCAGAGCAGTTCTGTACGATCTTAAATTCCACCAAATTCCACAGATTCTTTTTCAAAATTTCATAATTAAATGGTTGAGATGTAAACAGAGTCATTCAGAGTGGTTTGGTGTGAAACGCTCTGTTAGAGAAACTTACAGAGCCAGAACTGTTCACAGTGGTGGTGATAGGAACCAGACGTCCACCTCTAAAAGCTCCCTCACAGAAAGCGATTACATGAAATGGTTATGAATACACTGCCTCATTTTGAGGCTAAATATGATGTCCTGGAATACTGTCGTGATGGAGTCGGCGTTCCAGAAGCTGCATTACATGCACAAAGATTTCTTCTTAGCATTGGATCACTCAGTGTGTTTTAAGCCGTAGTTACACTGAACATTTCAGCAGTGGCAGCATTTACAAATGAGAATGTAGATAAACATCTCCTTTATAATGTCTCTGATCTTATTTTCACATCCTTAAGATATTTACCTCAGGCTTGCATTAAAAATAGCTAGTGACGCTGCTGCTTTAGCACTGAATGGGTGAGTGTTGCAGATTTAAAGAAGGTGAAAATCTGTCTGTGAACCACAGCAGAGAAAATATGACATTGTCTATAAATCAAATAAAAACTGGTGGTTAACTTAGTTATCTAACATTAGGTAGCTGAGCCAGTAAACTGTGTGGACTGGGATGGTTGAAGGGTTCTGCCTGGTGTTTTGACACTTTTCCACAGTAAAAGTTAGAATTAGCGATATTACTGCTCAAACACTGTGAGGTATGGCGTTCTCATTTTGAGAATACACATCTGGGGACATCCTGTTAAACTTTTGGTGCTGTACTGAGTATGCCCCCTCTAAACCCACCCTCCAAATTCCTCTAGTCCGTGCTCTTTCAAATTCCAGAGTACAATTACAAGCCAAACAAGCTAGCTAGCAACCTGCTATCCTCAGCTAACATTCTGTTTTTCCTCTCGCAAGAGGTAACGTTTAATTTTACTGCATTTAATGTGTTCTCCACATCTAAATACTCTAGTAGAGCGTCTTTGGAGGACTTGTCAGCTTTAATAACTTATGCTACGTCCACAGCCTAACAACAGGCTTGTTGTCTGTCAGACAGTGTTGACAAGCTCGTCATTGCCGTCTACTTTGAGCTCTGCCTTTCATAAGGTGTTGAATTGGTCTACATTACCACCCACATTTAGGCCAAAATTTCTCATGGTTGTCCCTCATTGCAAGATCACGTCCGGCCCGGCGAGACTAACACTGGAGTAATTCAACGTTGCCATGTTGGCTGACACATAGAACCCTCATCTGAACTGATCAGATCAGTGTTCTATGTGTCAGCCAACGTGGCAACGGCACTGGACACAACACATTTACATTAGACAGAAGGAAATGTAAAAATGTTTCACGTCATTGTCCAAAAGACAACGAGGTACAACTGACAGTGTAAGCTTAGCCCCAACCTGCACAACACTGACTATTTTCTAGTAAACATTAGGCAGCTAACTTTAACCAACTTTGAATAAATTCGAATAATTAGGTAAATACCATATTAAAGATGTAAAAATAAGGAATCCTGTACATCAGACACATCTGTACTCATTCATAAACATCGCCACTGCGGTAATATGTTCCCTGCTATGATGACTTTCTCTGCATTAGATACGGAAGTATGAAAAGAGTCTTTTCACTGAAATGGGAAATGATGCAAATGGTGAAAAAGAAAAGTGCATGTAGGTTAGTTAACCTAATTTTAGTCAGAATTTAACCTTATGAATTTGTGAACCCAGGCCATGGTGTTTTTTCTGGAAAGAAACTAAACAGATTACCTTCTCTTCAGTCAACATTATATTTCTTGTCATTTAGAGTTGCAAAAAAAACAAACTGGTTATGAACTTGCTGTGTGAGCTGTTCACCAAACTATACATTCCCTCCAAAACCACTAGCAAGATGAGGATTTGGCTTTAATAAGGATCTTAACACTCTCTTCTCTGTGCATTTGCCAAAACTAAACAAACAGCTTCTAATGCAGGAGTAGTTAATAAATAGAAGCCAGTGCTTTTGCAGCATTGCTGAGCTCCTTTGAGGGATGAAGTCACAGCAGTAGTGGCGCATTTGCGAGTGATAAACAGCGTCAGTGTTGTTTTTATTACCATTTGTCACAGACAGGAGTTGTAAACGAAAGCGTGTGAGGTGACACAACCTGGTACTTTTCAGTAAACTTTTCTACATTGTGTTTTATTTAGTTGTCTGTAGAAAACATGATGGTGTGGTTTGTCTTGATGTATCACTTATGTTTACGCAGCATTTCATGGATATATTTAATATGTCAACAAGCTGCCAGATCTGGCTTGTTCCAGCACAAATTACGCCATGCTGATGCCTAAAATGTTGAGTTATGATAGTTTTAAAAAGCTTTGACCTCAAACGTATCTTTAAAATGTGCAAGACATTGTCAGGAGAAACGATCCCCAAAGAAACCGTCCTTTCTTTTCCTTTCAGACTTACTGCTATAGTACCATCATCAACATTACATATAAAAGACACCTATATGATTTTGGATAGTAAATAAAATGGCTATATTTGTGTTGTAGACATTGAGACCCCTGGTTCCTATCAACACCACTGTAAAGACATCAGAGTCTGTAAGTTTCTCTACAGTGAACCATTTCACACCAAACCACTCTGAATGACCCATTTCCTTAAGTTTACAACCAATCAGCTTCTTTATTATTCTAACTACTCAGTTCAACTTTTTGAGTTAAACTGACCTTATTCTGATTACAGTACTTTGCAGGTATTTAAAGTATGTCAGCGTGCAAAGTTAAAGTGTATGTGTATATATAGAATATATGCTTGTCAAAAATGATAATATGAAGATAAATAGCTGTTTGAGTGAGAAGCGAAAGGCAGGGCTGATTCTGTAAGATAAAGTGAGAAGTGGTAGTCAAGCTGCCGCACATTAAACCAGCTGTCATTACTGAGCATTCTTATAGCAGAGACAGGAGCGCTTTGCACAGAAGTGTGCATTTCTCCCAGGGACCATCAGCTGCCTTTGACACCTCCCACCTCCCAGAAGCCCAGCAGGCGTCACTACTTCTCTGTTCTTCTCTTCTGTTCCTCTCATGCAGAGAGCGACAAATACCTGCACCTCCGAGACGCCTTCATCTGCTTCATGAATATTCAGGAACCGCCATACAGGCGCCGCTTTGTTTGTTGTGACAGAGGTGCTACTTTGAATTGCCGCTGATGAGGATCAGGCAGACGATCTGGAGAAATCCGGGAAAGTAGGGTAGGATGACTCGCATGACAGCCCTCGTCTCCACTGGCCTTTTAATGCTCTTTTGAAGTCGAGCCTTTTTTCCATCAGTGTAGTCATATGAAGCTCAAATTACTTTTTTGTTATACAGACAATGCTCATCTCCCTAAGATATATACAGGGTGATTCAAAAAGATTCATCCGATTTCAAAGTGCCATATTTTTACAACCGTGAGCGTCTAGGAACCAATCACAATCCAATTGTAAGAGAGGGTCATAGAGTTTCTGACTATCACCAGAAGACGGCTCCCTTCAGTCTGAGAGGAGATGTGACCCCAGAGCAGAAAGCGTTCTGCGTTCTCCACTTCAATAAGAGTGAATCCGTCATAACTGTGCAGCGTGGTTTTCATCGGCAGTGAAGCTCCAACAGCTCAGAGCGTTCGGCGTTGGTTCCACAGCACTGGATGATCTCCGAAATCACACTGAAAGAGCCGTGAGTGCAGTGACACCCGACTATGGCGTTGATGTTGTCCGTACAGCTGGAGGAGGTTCATACTGAGCACTTGTAAAATTAGATAAACTTTTTTTTTAAAGCTCCTTTAAACCATTTACAGTTTACCGCATTGTTCTGTAATGATTTAAAAGTGAAAAATCCTTCTGAAATCGGATGAATCTTTTTGAATCACCCTGTATATCTCTGGACTGATGATGAAGCTTTCTGGCCAAATCTAATTTCTTTACAGCCAAATTGCCAATTGAGACGCATTTTATAACGCGACGCAAGCGCAAACTGCATTCTGAGCGTTACTGCAAGGGACGCTAAAACAACAGCCAGGCCCGTCCAAACGGTCCTGTACCAGAACCGGTTTATAAGGAGCCTGGCCACTTCCTATTTCCCCCGTTATATCAAAAACAGGACTGCTAAACAGCAGAGGGCGCCCACGAGAGAGCCCTCAGTGAATGGGAGTAAATGGCGCTCAACGGCTAAAAACGAAAAGTTAAAATAGCTTCTAATCACTGAACCAGAACATTTCTTTAATTTTAGAAAGTAGAAGGATGTATTTCACTAAAAAAACAAAGAAATCTCACCTATATATTCCCTTTTTTTCTACAGAAAACAGGTTTTGGGCAGCAGAAGGCGGGAATTAGTGCTAGAGCGTGATGATTGGTTGGCGAGTGGAGCAGCTCATTGGCTGTTCATGCTCACTGACGTCATGAACGTATATGAGGCGCCGTTTTAAACTCCTATAACTCGAGTTTAAAAGCTCTTAAAAATATAACAGCAGGGTCAAATGTTTTATGCTGCTCTGTGTTCAGGCAGTGATCACATTCTTTTACATTAAAATGTTTAATCATTTATTAACTATGATTTTGCTCAAATGCTCCATATCAACCCATTCTTTTGGACTCGGGAGCGCCCTCTAGCGTTTGAGAAAACCGGAATACATTGCAGAGTGGAAATTCTCCTTACTACTCACGCAAAGATGGCATAAAAATATGATTATCGCGTTTCCAATCCAAGAGAAGAGGTAAAGCAGCTCACTCTCCTCTACTGTCCACGTTTAGCTGTTGAGGCTGTTGGAATAACAGTAGATCCCTCTCTGATTTGAAATCTATCGCCCCCTTCAGTACTGAGTGTTTTAACTTCCACAGCTATGGAAAGCCAAGCGGATGAGAA